GCCACAGATTGAACTTTATGCTGTTGCCAGATCTAAAGGATCACGCGCGTGTAGGTGGGGTCATCACTCACTCCGGGTGCCTCCAGGTGACTCTCCAGGTGCAACAACCAGACTTGTTTCACCCATCTTCACACCAGTGGGACCATCTAAGAAACAATGAGCATGATGGGTAAACTACATTAAAATACCCTCTGATTATGACTAACAGTTTGCTATTGAAAATGGCTATAGAAATAGTTGATCTACCCACTAAAAATGGTGATGTTCCATCGTTTTTTGTTAACGTTTACCAGGCCGGGTAAACCAGCAAAACTGATCAGCATCCGTTGGATTGAATGGCCAATTTGCCAGTGGCAATTGGAAACTTCACCCTGCGTTAGTAATGTTGGTAAAAACAACAATTTTCACCATATACAAAGCATTCCCAAATAATTAGGTGGTTTATGACATTGTGGAAAACCCCCAAACAACACCATTTTTCTTCATCCAACCCCAAAACAACACCCTGCCGGGCACAGCTTAGGCTGCAAAGCGAGTGGCCGAATTCCAAGTGAGGATGTCCTTCCCCAAACCTTGCGACATGCCGACAGTGGATACCTGAAACGGTCACAGCAGTTGGATACTCTCCTCGAACTAAATTGAGGTTTTTATGTACAAAATATGGAAAAATCATAAACAAATTCTATAAATGGTGAATAATTCACTTACCTGAAAAGTTATAGTTATAGTATCTGAATGGTAATATTATGGTGGAAACTCTGAATGGTAAAGTTATACTCTATAAATGGTGGAAAAGTTCCGATATTCTGAGTATAGTTATCCCTACCATCACTCCAGGGACGTCGTGATGTGAGGTCGTTATTCAGACGATTATCGAGACCTGGGTCTGAGCTAATCGAACTGGGGGATATCAGCAGATAAATGATAACATACCCAGTGGTCATTGATCGCATCCCCACTTATCTTGATGCTAAACACCTAGTAGTTATCTTTATTCGGATGATATCGTTTGACAAGACGTATAGAATATATAATAATATACATATATATATATATATACATATACGATTAACATCAACACACATGTGTCCGGTTTTAATTCATCGTACACCATAACCATCATGACTTTAAGACCAGACGCTTGGGACTTGGGACTCCGAACCCGTTTATTTGTATCTGACTGACTGACATGGAAAATCTTTGCTACCCTGCAACAGGTTAATTTGCACTTGGTTATCATGTTCCACTCTTTAGAGCTAAAGGTTAAGGGGTGAACTGTCAGTAATTGTTTTTGTCAACCCAATTAATGTGGTTAACCCATTCATGAATTAAATTGTAACCTCCCATTTTTGGATATGTCTCAAGGAATCTGAATTGTGATTACAATACCACCACATGGCAAATCCTGGCAAATCATAAGGTAATCAAATTGGAGATAGTTGATGATCAGGTCTATGACATAATTTGGGCAAGTAGGAATTACAGGTTTTGTTTTGTTAATAGTGTTGTCGCATGGGACATTGTAGGGTGATTCATTGCATGATAAGGATGCAATAATAATCCCATCCCCCCAATATTAAACACCCCATTCTATGGTCCCAAATATGTGCAAATTCCGTGCAAAATCATGGTTTCGTTTGGGTTTATTTAAGGATTAACAAGACTACATGCTATCATGCAAAAATATCTTAAGCTACCGAAAAATCAAGGCTACATGACGATGACATGATTGGTTACCCTGAGTAAGTCCCCGGCGTTATCCCATAAGTGGCTACAAGCGGTAATGTCCCACTTGAACACCCAAATATTGGGGATATTATGATATAATGTCCAACGAATACTTAAAACATCAAAAAACCTTGGTTACAAAATTAATTACAAACACAAGTTGATGTTTTGAGATGTTTTTGTTAAAACACAAAGACAAAGCAGTTATGATTCCTGAGGTGATTCTCCATACCGCAAAAACCTCAAGTCCGAGGCACGATGACGCGCAAAACTGCGCAAGGAGTGGAGCGCCAGGTGCCATGCACCGCCCTTGTCACATGCACTGACCAAAGCACCGAGGCACATCTCGTCCGGAGAAAACTGCAGCTGGGACCTTTAGATGCAGATGATGCAAATGATGCAGATGATGCAGATGCAGATGATGGGTCTGGCCATATGGAGGTTTCCTGAAATGGGGGTACCCCTATCTATTTTAATACGATGTTCGAGGCAATAAACCATCCATTTTCGGGTACCAACTTTTTGTTTAATGGAAATCCTCTTTTTTTTCGTGAGGAAATCATGAAATTTCAGTGTTCGCAGTTGGTCGATGGTTCTGGTTGTAAGACCAGCGAGCTATCCTGTTTGTTATTGTGTTATAACTTCATTAATCTTCATTTGCAAACAAGTTATGAAGTGGGATGATCCTCCGAAAATAAACTGGTTATTAATGCAGATTGATGCTATTAGTACTGGTAGATATTACAGGATACCAAGATTATATTGATGGATGGCAATGGTAGAGGCAACTGTAAATAACCAGCTGGTTCTTAGTCCAAGACAATCAGCCTGGGACGTTCTACAAGTGAAATGGAATTTTGGGGCCCCCTATAGCTATAATTTGGCCTGTAACCCCCAAACGTTCACCAGCTGTGCTGCACCGGCTGCACCTGGCTGTTTGCGCACCGAGTCACATCTGCCCAAAGACGTGGAAGGATGATTGCCACTGGGCCGCGTTTTCACCTGACCATGGTGACATGTTGGCAGGGCTCGTGTGCATACAACAGGTGGCATACAAGGTCGTTTCCATAGTTAGCGAACTTAGTTTATATCCCCAGTTATTTAGTTCGATATATCAAAAGCTCAAGCATGTTGGCCAAAAAGGTGAAGTCTCACTGCTGCTTTGGGCGCACCACTTTCTCCATGGCCACAAATTCAAATCTGACGTCATCATTTGGGTCATCTTGCTCAAATGGTTTTTGCGTCCAACCAGCTCTCACATAGTCGTTTATCGCGCTGCTGTTGGACTGGAGGCAACGCTTGACACCGTTCCTCGAGCCCGCAGCCATCTCCTGCGATTGTGCTGCTCTGCTGGTGCCAGGAAAAGCCAACAATGCCTTTCCCTTTGTGATCCCTGGAGACCTTCAAGTGAAAGATGTAGAGCACCTCCTGGACCTGTGAGGGGATGATGCCCTGGGTGAGTACAGGCATAGGTTCCTGGCCCTCGCCGCTTGGGACAAATGTCAAGGACCAAGGACAAAAGGTGGCAGCTGTGAAATCCAGTGACTGGACAGGCCCGTGAAGTCTGCACGTATTCTCTGCTATAGCAGCGTTTTAGCCCCCAAATTTGTTCGATCCTGTTCTCGGACATATGTTCTGATGTTTTTATTTTTATTGACCACTTTTCCCATAGGTAAATTTCGCAGTCCTTCACGATTGCAACGGATTTAGGTTCCCCAAAAAAACGATAAAAACAAAACATGGTTGTTTGCGCACAACTTCTAACTGACGTGCACAACTTCGAACTGACGTGCGCAACTTCGAACTGACGTGCGCAACTTCTAAACCGACGTGCACAACTTCTAACTGACGCGGATAACTTCAAACTGACGTGCGCATCTTCTAAACCGACGTGCACAACTTCTAACTGACGTGCGCAACTTCTAACTGACGCGCATAACTTCGAACTGACGTGCGCAACTTCTAAACCGACGTGCGCAACTTCTAACTGACGCGCATAATTTCTAACTGACGTGCGCAATTTCAAAACCGACGTGCACAACTTCTAACTGACGCGCATAACTTCTAACTGAGGTGCGCAACTTCTAAACCGACGTGCACAACTTCTAGCTGAGGTGCAAAACAAGAAGAAAGGAGAGTGAAAAACGGGCTATTGGCACAGCAAGAAGCAGAGAAAATGCTGTTAAAAAAAGGAAATGACCCTAAAATGCATACAAACACGTAGCCGTCTACCAAGCGTGTGCCAACTACATGGTTCTCTCTCCACGTTTTCCGGGTTGTGTTGGTTGTTAAGTTATATCCACATCGACCTACACCCCTGAAATTAACACAAAACGAATAAATATGAAGAAATTACAATTCCCACTAGGAATCTAATTTTCCAACCACGTCTGTTTATGGTCCGCATTTTTGTTCAGTACGCTCACATATATACATACGGAATATCCATAATTTCCCAGGAAAATGTAATGCATATTTTTCATGGATCTTCCATATATAATAAAATATCATTGCTGATTATTGTATATCTGATATATGTAATATATTCATATATTATTACACATATCTTTCTTTATCCCCATAAATTGCTTCCATAAACGGTCTGGCGCTGTACCCTCTACTTCTGGTCCATAAATCCAAATTTGGATGTTCAACCTCAAATTAGAGCCATTATTGAAGAAAAATACATGAAGAACAACAAGAACAATCTACCTGGCTATCGGCTATCTATCTACCTAGCTATCTATCTATCTATCTATCTGTCTGTCTGTCTGCCTGCCTGTCCGTCTGTCTGTGTGTCTATCTATCTATCTATCCATCCATCTATCTATTTATCTATCTACCTATCCAAACTTCAGAAAATTTACAGGATGGACGATCATGGTTGGTAAGTCAAATTAAGTTAACTTACAGTCATAGTATATGATGGTTGGTTCTGCAGTGATAGTAAGTTAAGTTATGTTTAATGAAAGTCCAACCCTCTCCAGCCAAGTATCCGAAGTTGGTTTAAGGTGAGGCCTCCGAGTGATGTTTGTTGGTTTATAAACTCCATGAATATTAAAGTCATATTGTCCATGAACCCACATGTTCACCAACTGAAATCACGCAACTTATCCTTGGATCCGCTTCAAGGAGCCAACAAAAATCACCTTCAATCACCTTCAACAAATCAAAGATCCCTACTATATCCCAAAATTATATCCCCACTATATCCCTTAACATATCCCTTAACATATCCCCACTATATCCCCACTATCTCCCTACTATCTCCCCCAAAATCACCGTCTCGTGGACGAAGGTAACACCTGAGAGGGCGCTACTGCAAGCAATCAGCGATGCCAAGCGTCGACCTTTTTGGGCATGGGCTGGGCACCACCAAACGGATGGCTGAAACGCTACAAATTTCATGGGATAAACTAACCATGTATCAACTGGTGATTCGGATTTTGCTGGCCCATCCACAGTATGTATAACATTATATCACATTATATAAGTGTATAACTTGCAATGAAGAAATCTTGATTGCTAGATGATTTTCCATTATGTTCCTACCTTTTCTTCCCTGTAGACATGTTGATGGGTGAATTTCTGCCCAGGCTTTGCTACGTGGTGAGATCACTGATGAATGATCGTCAGTGAGTGGTTACAGTACCAGGTGCCCCAGTTCGGAATCGCTAAGTTGGTGAACATAACTCCAATCAGTTGGGTTTAATGGTAGATATATGGGGGGGGTCCTACAATGGGGGTACCCAAAGATGGTTGGTTGATGATGGAAAATCCTAAAATGGATGATGACTGGGGTACCCCCCATTTTGGGAAACCTCCATATCTATACTTAATGTGGGTTACAAGCCAAGTTATAGCCTTGGAGAACCACCAGTAGATTACACATGATGCCATAAAAATCATCGTCCCTTCTAAAGTTGGTCTACCTCCAGCATGTGATGCTTCAATCCCCTGCAACAGTTGTAAACTTCACTATTTTTTTGTATTTTTATATAGGTCAAATCAACATTTCAAACGATTATAGAGCCAATAGTTTTTGCTCGGAAATCCGCCATTTGATTTGGCCGGCGATCACTATGTTTGTCAGCTGAACCCACCATCTTTTCCCGTTTGAAGTTTGGATTTTCCTGCGATGTTAAATTATGTTAAATTACCAGAGGGAAAGCATCAGTGAACCCTCCGTAAACTAACATACCCTCTGGTTATGACTACCATAGCTATTGAAAATGGCCATTTATAGTTGATTAACCCATTAAATCCATTAAACATGGTGATTTTCCATAGTTATGTAAACGTTTACCAGAGTGTAGATGTTGAACACCCAGCATTTGTAGCTGATTGTCTGGGCTTTTCACAGAAAATTATGTTGGTTTTTACCATGTTGGTAACCCCTGGGTAACCATGAAACCACCTACCAGGAGTTCCATCCCTCGCCGCGGCCATGGCACTCACTGCTAGGTCTAAGAGCTCAATAGCCTTGCTCCAAGAAGCTGACCTGGTGGCTGGGAAAACCTATGGAACTCAATGGGAGATGTGACCATGTTTTTCCATGGATTTTTGATTACCCTCTGGTTATGACTAACAGTTTGCCATGGTATAGATGGCCCATGGAAATAGATGGTTTACCTATTATTATATTAATCTATATTATATATCTGGTTGGTTATACCTACTCCTCTGAAAAATATGAAAGTCAGTTGGGATGATTATTCCCATATATTATGGAAAAGAAAAAAAATGTTCCAAACCACCAACCAGTCATGATTTTTGATTACCAGAGGCTTAAAAACTGGTTGGAAAACTTCAATGGACATCTTGTGATGAATGTTTCATGTCAAATCATAATAAAAGGATAGAAAAGGAAAGAAGCTGTTCCTCTTGGTTTTTGTGACACCATGAGCGCGCTTTAAACTTGCAGTTTGCGAGAAGCGCCCTGTCATTCTCAAACCTACCAGTACTGGTCCCACCTGATTGAGTGCGGGAAGCTCCATTACATCAGTCAAACCAGCAATCTGGATAAATTAACAGCCTGAAACAAGGCCATTTTGGGATATTTGCCATTGCTAACCCCAGTGTACCGTGACTCTGCCATGAGGGTTGTTATAAAATATATTAAAATGTTACAAATCTATCCAATGGGTCAACACATTTCGCACGTCCGACAAGCGGAGTATATCCAAATTGATGATCATGATTTGACCATGGCTTTACCGGCAAACTTACATTCACCTGAGAAAATCAGACAACTCGCAAAGCCGGTAAAGCTCGACGTTTTTACTGTCCATTTCCATAGCTAGCGTATACTGGAAAGTGCCTGACAAATCTCTGGTTTCAAGGCATCAGTTTTCTCGACCAAAAAAATGTGGATTACCATATGGTTATTTAACATAGCCATGGTATAGATGGCCCATAGAAATAGATGGTTTACCAAACTTATATCAAAATGGGTGGATTTTCCATGGCTATGTTAAATAACCAGATGGTACTTTGAAACGCCAAAAACTCCGCTATTTGAAACGCTGGCATGAGATGTTCACCAGATTTTGAGCACATTGGTTAAGTCATGTTAAGTCCATAAACGTGATCATAAATACATCATACCTGAGATATGCTCTTCATAGAAAACGGTGAAAGTACCAACCAGCATCACCCAGAGTGAATGGTTTATTATCAGTTTATCATCATTCCCCCCATGAAAGACTAACCAGTTTGGTGCGATAATACCCCATTTCGAGACTTGCATAGCCAATCCAAGTGGAATGCCTATTCCAGACATCATATATCGATATATATCGGTCATATCAATGGGAATTTCAGGATCCTTTGTGGGATGAGGCTATTCCCCCCAAGGTGGTCTTCCCCAGTTGTAAATTGCTTTGTAATCCCCATGAAGTAGTTCGATATATCACCGTGATATCACCAACAACAACCATAGTGAATTTGGAGTTATAAACCCACCAACTTACAGGATGGTGCCCCCCAGTTATAAGTGGGTTTGTAAACCCCATTAACTATACGTAGTTATATCTGCCATAAAGCATAGTTATGGGAGTTATAAACCAACTTAGCTAACGAACTGGGGCACCACCTTGTAGCTATTTATCGAACGGGGGCACCACCTTGCCTTTCAACATGAAAGGCCTATGACATCGACCTACTGGGGCTCCCGAACGCAACGCTGGAGATCACGGAGCCGATCATCACCTGGCAAGTCAGCAAAATCACGGAGGCTTAGGCCACATAGGCCACATATAGATGATATAAATGGATAGCTCATGAAAGCTCTATGGTTACTGCTAACATCTGCTAACTAACTTGTTAATAAGTGGGATGGATGATCCTTCAAGTAAAAAAAAACATGGGATATCATGGGATTAAACCAACTACAAATATCACATATGTTTGTGTGTCTGAACATGGAGAATGTCGACTAAAAACACCCAGTTTGTTTGAGGCGCTCGGAAGAATCGAATTGTCACGAGAGAAACCTTGATTTCTGGATGTGTCGACGTAAATGTTCATGCTATTTCATGCTGATTGTCAAACCAACCATGGCTATCATATAGCATGAGGATGATTTGGGGTAAGTCTACAAGTTATGAATGTACCACAAGAAAAATACATGAAAATATAAGAATTTTGCAGGGAAGTGATTGATCAGTTGGGTCCTCACATCACAAGGAAGGATTTGCTCAACTCGGCCCTTAAAAACCAGTAAATTCCCCAGTTCGACTCAGCCAATCCAGGTGTTTTTCAGGATGCAGCACGACATTGTGAACCGTCTAAGTATTGCCTGGGTGACCTATGAAACATGTTCAATGACTCACATCGATTAAAATCGTGACTCACATCACCCATCTCCGTGACCCACTAGCGGGTACAAAAAAGGAAAAGCTACGGGTAGATCCCACTCGCTTTCCTAGCGACCCGGCCATGAGTTGGGATGAAGCTGTTCGGTTGGAAATCGAGTCAACACCCCATGAAACCCCATGAAACCACTGTAATTAGTAGCTAAATCGCCGTAGAATCCCATTCAAAGCATCATTTTTCACACCCAGAAAGGGCCAAAAAACAGCACTGAAACCCTCCACCTCGCTTTTGCGCAGGAGATGTAGCCCCATAGAAGCGAATAACCTTGGGCGATCCGTGGTGCGTGGGCTACCTTTCAGGAGCTAAGGGCTGGTCATCTTTGGTATGTAATCTTATTCCTCCCTTTTGATAATGATACAACGGGGCAAATGATGAACATTTGTGGGCATGATAGGGTACACATGCCCCGCCGCTATGGTCTTGTACCCCGTTTGTTTCTCCTAAAGAAGAACCGAACCTTTTAGCTGCTGATATTTTTCTAACTGTAAATTGTGGTCGTTCACGTCCAATCAAGTGGTAAAAAAATGGAAATTATTGTTGCTTGAACTTACCCGCTTTTATTGGTGATCATCGAATGTTTGATAAAAAACAAACAAAGTGTATCAACGTGTCATTCATTGCGGGGAAATATTGATCATAATCATTGCCAATCTTAGATACCCTGCAAAAAAAATCTTTGCTGGTGAGCGTAGATATTCCCATTGATACCAAAAGACTAGTTAGGACTAAAGTATCCATCTAAGATTAACCTAGTAATCATCATTAATCATCATTAATCACCATTAACCATCATAAACGTGGAAATTTTAGAAATATCGCCAGCTTGGAATCTTTAGTATCTCTGGTAATTAAACTAACATAACTATATGGAAAGATCCACCATGCTATCAATGGGTAAATCCACTATAAATCACCATTTTCAATAGCTATGTTAAAGAACCAGAGGGTAGTATCTCTAGAATCTGTAGAACATCTCAGACTATGTAAGTTACCCTTAAGGTTAAACATACAAAAAGATACGTGGAGCACCACTGCTTTGCCGGAACATGATCTACATGCTGGCCTTTCCACATCGAACTGTAAACGTTTACAGTGCCCAACATGAAATACTGGTTGTTTCACATAGATTCCCCTATTGGATTATTCTAATCCCAAACATATTGGGTAGTATAACATGGGTCATTAAATGTCCCCATTGAACATCACCCAACCATTAGGTATATGGTCTTACCAAAGGCTACTATTTCAGGTGATGTCCAATATTCCCAAAATGGGACAGTTACCAACCCCGTATAATATAGTATAATATTGGGTAGTATAGTAATTATATAATATACCCAACTTATACTAGTATAATACTTATATAACTATTATATAATACCCATTGGATTGTAATCCCCCAAGTCATCATCAACCACCAGGGTTTAAAGCCGAAACCATGGGGCTTCCTTTTCTCGCCATGGCACGCCAAGGACCTGAACCACAAAGCACCAGGTAACTTCGCTGCACCTCGGGATGCGTTCCAGCGTTCCGACTGGTCGCTTACTAAGCCAACGTTGCTATAGGAAGATATAGAAAGTGGGTTATTGATGGTTATCCCATATAAATGACCTATAAACATATCAAGGTGGTGCCCCAGTTCGTTAGCTAAGTTGGTTTATAACTCCCATTTCACTATGGTTTATGGCAGATATAACTACGTATAGTTAATTAATGGGGTTTATAAACCCACTTATAACTGGGGGGCACCATCCTGTAAGTAACTAATATTTAATAGATTTTAATAGTACCTATATATATATACTGTAACTTAATATGGTGATCATTAAACCTGTTATAAATGAACTATGGTCCTATAGTTGTGAAATGTTATGAGCCATTTCCTCCAGAGTTACTGTACAATTATAAACCAACAAAAACTTATCTTTTTTGGTGCCCATTCTCGGAGGCAAAGATGATCTTTCTTCATAAAGGCTCAAGGGGGATCATCAGCGTTTCTTCGAACATCTCAGGTATTGTTCGGTTGTAACTTGGGTAAAGAAATGGCAAAATGACCAATGTCCCCTTTGCACCTTGCGAACATCATTTAGCTCTCATAGATCATTAGTTTTTTCTAGCACCCCACATCCACTTGCCATGTTTTGGGGATTTTCTTCAGAAAGTCAGAAGCAGGTCGTCAACCACTCCTGGCCGGATCACCGCCGGTAAATTGGATGCCCATGGTATCACCCAATTGAAAAACCCCCCATGGTTTGATGGTTACCCTCAACGGTTATTTCACATAGCCAACATGGATCAACATGATCCAAAATGGATCAACATGGCCCATAGAAATATAGAAATTGATGATTTTCCCAGCTACAAACTTCCATAAAAATCATGGATTTTTTAAAGGTGGAGATATGACCATCCCCCAAGCCATGGAATTTCCCAGCCATGTAACTTGACCTGGCAAATATCTCCAAATACCCACCAGGGTAAACATACAAAAAACATCAAAAAATTATAGGACCGGATAACCCCACATGTTACCAACTTCTCTAGACTTAGACTGAGCATAGAAAAGCAAGAAGGGAAGAGGAAGTATAAGAGTGATGGAGGGGTGATGGTGGGTGAGTTTTTGTGTATGTGTGTATGTATGCGCATGCACAGGTGAGTGAATGAGTAAGTGAGTGAGTGAGCGAGCGAGTGAGTGAGTGAGTGAGTGCGTGCGTGCGTGGGTGGGTGGGTGGGTGAGTGAGTGAGTGAGTGATGGTGTGAGTGAGGTGGGTGAGTGAAGGTGAGTGGGTGAGTAAGTGAGTGAGTGAGTGGGTGAGTGAGTGGGTCCCTGAGTGGGTGAGTGAGTGAGTGAGTGAGTGAGTGAGTGAGTGAGTGAGGAGGAGTGTGAGTGTGTGTGTGTGTGTGAGTGAGTGAGTGAGTGGAGTGAAGTGAAGTGAAGTGAAGTGAGTGAGTGAGTGAGTGAGGGTGTGAAGGTGACTGGGTGTGAGTGAGTGATTGAGTGATTGAGTGAGTGATGTGAGTGCGTGAGTGGGTATGAGTGATTTCAGTGAATGAGTGTGAGCACAGTGTCCCACACCTGCCACGCAAAAGCCACCAGCAATGCAGTCCCACGCCTGCCACGCAAAAGAGGCGGAGCCCGAGGGACGCCAGGGCGTACATCCGACCCCTTGGCAGTGCACATTGTCCCACGCCTGCCACGCAAAAGAGGCGGAGCCCGAGGGACGCCAGGGCGTACATCCGACCCGTTGGCAGTGCACATTGTCCCACGCCTGCCACGCAAAAGAGGCGGAGCCCGAGGGACGCCAGGGCGTACATCCGACCCCTTGGCAGTGCACATTGTCCCACGCCTGCCGCGCAAAAGAGGCGGAGCCCGAGGGACGCCAGGGCGTACATCCGACCCCTTGGCAGTGCACATTGTCCCACGCCTGCCACGCAAAAGAGGCGGAGCCCGGGGGACGCCAGGGCGTACATCCGACCCCTTGGCAGTGCACATTGTCCCACGCCTGCCACGCAAAAGCGGCGGAGCCCGAGGGACGCCAGGGCGTACATCCGACCCCTTGGCAGTGCACATTGTCCCACGCGGAGCCCGAGGGACGCCAGGGCGTACATCCGACCCCTTGGCAGTGCACATTGTCCCACGCCTGCCACGCAAAAGACGCGGAGCCCGAGGGACGCCAGGGCGTACATCCGACCCCTTGGCAGTGCACATTGTCCCACGCCTGCCACGCAAAAGAGGCGGAGCCCGAGGGACGCCAGGGCGTACATCCGACCCCTTTGGCAGTGCACATTGTCCCACGCCTGCCACGCACAAGCGGCGGAGCCCCAAGGGACGCCAGGGCGTACATCCGACCCCTTGGCAGTGCACATTTTCCCACGACTGCCACACAAAAGAGGCG